TATAAAGTATTATTTTTGAATATTTGTGCTGTTGTAACCGTTGCCATGGCAATACTCATAAGGGATTTTGGACTTAATGAGATAATAATTATGACTATGTACAGTATTAATACTGTACATTTTTCCATTATTCTTGTCGGGAAATTTATTAGTATGAAATATAAGGGGACAAGTATATTTTAGTTGTAATATCTCAAATACGCCGTGGGAGAATTATTCTTGGTTCTATGGTGTTTGATAACTGTAATGCTTATTTCTGTATGCAACTCCATAAATAACGCACGTATAAAATATGTATACTCCATTGAATTACAATTTACTTAGTGTTAGCGTTGGAGATGCGGTCTATCGGTAAATCGCATCCACGATGGAAACTAATCTGTCTTGTTGATAATACATTACAGGAAGCTTCCATCTCTCTAGAGAAATCTTGGAAGCTGCCTTCAATCTTACAATGTTATGGTCGTTCCTTTGCTATCTCATCGCCTGTGTCCGCTTCAGGCGTTACTGTGAACAAATTCTGGTTCTGTGGTCCTGATACGTGCTTCACCTATAATTCCTCGTCGAATTGTATACACAGACTCGCGAGCCACCAATCTATTAGTTTAATCCTCGTCTTTTGAATTAGTTCTGGGTTCATAACCAGTCACGTTCTTATTTGCATGGATTTAATCCATTACAGATTTCTTTCTGTATCTAACCACTATGACATGATGATGCATGGATGAATGTAAAGTTCCGTGTAGTCCTAACCACAGTACCAACTTATATTTCTTGATATGGTAATCCTAATAACTTCTGATGAAAAGTGTAAATTATGAATCGTCTTATTGTGCATTTTGCTGCTAAATATTGCCTTCAGTATTCTGGTCTGACTAACCACGTTATTTCTTTAGGAGGAGAGACCAAATTTCATAGCCATATAAAACGTACAAAATTACAGTGCTCTGTATTTTAATCTCTACGTTTGTAGGTAACAAACGGAAAGTTAAAAAAATTCCTAACTCAATGGCAGTATGTATTTCTCCCAATTTAATATCTTTTTAATTTAGTGGTGAGAGTAATTTTAAATTCTTACTGCCTTCCCAGATAATTGAAACATGTCACATTTTCGAAAGACGTATTAGCTGTTTATATATTATGAGCTTTTCACTTTATTCTGATCATATTACGTGAGCATTTAATTGTATTCATATTTCTTTACTCCTAAACTAACCTGCTTAGTAGCGTCTAATATACTACGGTGTTTATGTAAATTAATTTAACTTTACCTCAGAAATAATAATTAGGATATATGAAGATGTGGAGATAGAGATAAAATCATCATTTACTTCAGCTATAAATGGAGGTGAGTGACCACTTATAACAAAATTAAACTAAATTTATTCAATACAATTTAGTTGATAATTTATAGACGCAATTGTCAACATCGAATAACGCCAATTAGAGTCATGCACTAAAAATAACAGAACAAGAAAAATGACGTAAAAGATGGAGAAATAACACAAGAACAAAAAGAAACATGGTCGAATGTACAGCATAAAACCAAAATAATAAAGACGACGAGAAACTATATCAAAACATTAATTAAATTAAAATATGGAGAATTGTATCGTCCCTTTTGAACTCGGAGAAGGCACAACGGTGTTAGGTTAAGTAACCAAATTTGTTGGGATGAAATTATGTCATGCTGAAAAGAATTTAGTCATCGCTAAAAAAAATATATATTATAAGTGATCATAAATAACAAATTGGAAACTTTGGAAAAATTGTTCAGTGTCTGTATAGGTCCACATTTGCTGACGACAGAACGGCTAACGTCCTTGATATTGGAAAAGCAGGATGAAACGGACACATTTTCTACAATGTCAAAATATGTGTTGAGTGTAATTAAGATTTCAGAATAACCCTTAATATTAAATTATAGAACGTGATGTAAATCAACGCACATGGATGATTTAAGACGTTTTATATCTACGTCGACTTCATAGACGGTAGAGACAGATGACGTAGGTAAAAAATCTGTCATGACATAACAATGAGGAATAACAATCAGACAAGATGCGTTAGATTCAAAATGATTGCTAAGGGTATCAGAGACATGTTAAGTCCTGTAATAAATTTTTCATCCAATTTAATGTAGGTTTATTATTATCCTTTTTAAAATTAGAAACATATTTCTAAAAGTGCTTAGTTTGAGATTTAGGTCTATCATTGGCAGACTTTAACCACCTTTGTCTATAGAAATTTTAGAACTTTACAAAAATATAAAAAAGAATATAATATTGTAGGCAGGACATCTGGTATTTTGTATGGACGAAAAAAATAATTGTTCGTACTAATGTAATGCACCTAAACTGTGTCTTTCTAGTATAGGTATGAGTTATTGAATCAATAACTACAGAATTCAGTAGATTATGAGAACAGTTAACTGCCTGTGCACACAAGAGCAGATATAAGAGGATAACGTTTCGTAATGTAAATATCCTCGCACGTAGTTGAGAAACGAATTGTGAAGCTTAAGAAAATATACTTAGGTCAGCGCGCTAAAGAGGATGTTAAGTATAAATAACTGCCAGTTCAATATCGGAAATGGTAACGTTGACTTAATAAAAATTGGCACACACAAGATTAAGAAAATTCTTGTAATTTGATAAGATAATGTGCGACGTTTTGAACATTACCTTTAATTTTAGTGTTGTCATGCAAAATATCGTGAGGAAAGCTACTAAAATCTATTAAGAAGACTACATGGAAATTATATCTGTCTTAGTTTTCAGAGAATTAAAATAATTTTCAATTGTTTTATTATGTGGTTTAGGCGAAAAATAATTATTTCTGATTAGTAAGGTTAATGTCTGTTAATTTATAACTACCTGCCGAAGATGGAACATATATCGTGTTTAGATAATTTTTAAGATACTCATTTTATTTGTGTAATTGTTGCAAATCTTCAAAATCTTTCAAAACCTAACCTAAACAAAATTTTCCATCAAATTATGACTGATAACTTCTTAAAGCCGAAATTTAGGGAAACATGGCCCACAACATTGAACAAATTTCTGTTTTCCATTAAAGCTTTCTTATACACGTCACATATGTCCCTGTTGGTAGTCGTCGTGCCAAAAAGCTGTGATAAGTAAACCCACGAACGATACCATCTCACACTATAGTAACCGTCATCAAGTTGCACCCTTCAGGCCACGAAAGGACTTCAACGCCCCTCCGCGCCCCTCGCTTACCGCGCTTCTCTAAGTCACCAGAACAACGTTGATATCTGCGCTGCGCTCCGAGCTCTGAGCTGTCTTCATTCACTTGGGCTTCGTTATTCGTGCCGCGAAATTGTACGATATTGCTGTGACCTTGAAACATTACATTTGTTGACGGCTTCTGTAGAACACTGCACGTTTACTACGAAGGCGCGAGTAGCTTTGGTAATTGTGTAACAGTGCCCTAGTTGAATGTCCCATTGCCGTATGAATTAAATACATAAAGACTTTGAAGCAAAATAAGCACCTGTATGCACCTTCTGTCGCTTTTGCACACATTCTGTGTTATCTGGGACAACTACAGGTTGTGGTACAGGACCCCTGCCCTTTGATATTCAAATGAGCCAATAACACAGCGCCCTCAACTGTATTGAGGGGCTGGATGTCAGTGATTGCCGAACATGTTGATTTGTGAGGGAAATAAAAACAATCAAAAATTGATGTTAGTCTGCCCTCATTCTATAACATTTTTCCACATGCATTTAAAAAAATCATTGTATTTTCCTCTCTAGCTTTGACAACTTTTGTCCTAATGGAATACTTTCAAAAAATAGTTTGTTAGAGAACAGTCAGTTTCATTTATTATAGGCGTGCGTATTTTCCCACGTAAATACGAGTGAAACGAATGAAGTCTACTTTCCTCCAAATTATTTCTTCAGTAAGGCCTATAGAAAAGTAAGTGTGAATTTTAATTCGATATTTATTCAATTCAATAACAGGCGAATGCAAATGTTACGATTTCAATAGTAGGTTACAATCAGAGATCTCGAGTGGTAGAAGTAACATTTAGACTAATACGGGTGTAAAATAAAGATCCCGGAGAAATCGGGTGTGAGGATATGAACTGAATTCATTTAGCCCAGATTAAGGTAAATCGGGTGGGAGGATATAAACTGAATTCATTTAGCCCAGATTAAGGACCAGTGGTTGGTTGTTACGAGAACGACAATGAACTTCGGGTGTCACACAAGACCGGATATTACTTGACTAGCTGAGAGATAATGAACTTCTCAAGGACTCTGCTCGGTGGAGTTCATTACGTAACCACAGATTCCTACCTTATTGACTAAATTTGTAAGATACAACACCAGAATTTTGCACCAATTCCACATTTGTATCTGTATAATCTTTAGTATAAGATTTAGTATAGTATTCATATGTTTACCTGTTTCATTTTTATATCTCTGTGTTAAATTTTATATACCATACCTAAATTAGATAATTTGTTTTAATTAAATCAAAAACCGAGTATGTATTTCAATGTACAGAAACAATTTACTTTTAAAATGTTTGCATTTTATTCGACCATTTATTAAAACTTAAGTGACTTAAGTCGCTCTGACCTCAAAAATGCTGATATTATCGATTGTACGTAACAGAGATGTAACACGTTTGGCTGGTGTCCAGTGGCATTATGTTTAAAGACTTGCAGACAAGAAAATTGGCCTACCATAGGAACATTCCTTTCAAATAAATAAGGAAAGTTGTCTACGAACAGAATCAGATTTGCAACAAACACTTCTTTGAAGGTACAGTTAACATTTTTGAAAGCACGTCTCTTTACTTCGAATTAGTTGTTTTCCTCGACCCTAAGACAACGTTTCATTCTACAATCTTAGCGTTACTGTCTGATCTAAACTTGGAATAAATTCAGGTTAACAGCGCCTCACTTTCTAAGTTGATTTCGTGTATTGCAACTCCTACAAAATTATATATTATTTTGTATTTCAGTGGGAACTCGTCTGCGACAGCGACTTCTACACGACACTAGCGCTGATACTACTCGGAATTGGTGGTCTCATAGGCAACTACATTTTTGGGTACCTGCAGGATAGGTGAGTATCACTTAACATCTAATAATTTGAAGTAAACTACTATATCGAAATATGAAGTTCGCCGATCACGGTGACCGTGTTGTCCAAGACACGCACTGAGGTGGATCATCATAATAATTAGGTCATTGATTCCAATCCTAAAAACTCTTGTTTTAATGCACCATAAGATGAGTTAAACAGAATGTTTACACGTCAATTTAACCAGAATTCTTTACACCCTTAACTGAAAGTAGTAGACTAAAATAGGCTAAGAAAAGGCGAGAATATCCTTTTTAAGAAGATGATTCAATTCACATTTCGTTGTCTCTTTAGAAATTAACTAAAGGTTAAACGCCACTAACACCTCAGCCCACTATCGGAGTCTATTACAATTTTTCCCATACTTCTCTCTCAAAATAGTCTTATGAGGGTTTTTCTAAAAGCTTATTTTTCTTTGAAATTGTAAAATACAGTGTAAACTCCCTGACATAAGAACCAACGCTAGGTGAGATGTATAAATTCAAATTACGAATTTCTTCAAAATGTGCCTAAAATATAACCGAGAATCTATGAGCCGAGACACAGCACTTCTATAACAATTTCTGGGACGTTGCGCCGCGTAATCTGGTAAAAGTTTACGGACGTTTCAGTTGTGTTTACTGCACTTATCTTCGCCCTGACGATGGTAGTCCAGCTAGTCAAAAAGTACCGCACCTGTTGTGGAAACGGAAGATTCTTTACCATATTCACAAACGCTACCACCGGCCTCTATCCTAAGGCTGATACATCGAAGATGTTTGAAGCTATGACGGCAGTCAATACGAAGAGAGGACGTCCTGGTCTGCGACGTAGTTACCTCGGCTTCCTTCGGCCGTCTTTGTTCCCAGTGATGTTGTCAGGAATCGACCCTTATTGAGGCCCATGCAGGAATTGAATTTTTCATTACCTCTATGTCGATTTCTCCCTCTTTTTTTCTCTCCCCACTGCCTTTGGCCGCCGTCCGCCTATATAAAACTTTCACAAGCCGATCTTGATTTATTTTACCCCGATGATGGAAATCCATCCATCTCATACTCTTGTAATTTCATCATTCTGATAATATTTTGTTATAAAAAACATGAAACTACAAGATTACGTTGTCATTACGCCACAATCTGGAAGGACGATTTTTCCCTTTCCCATTATCTTGGACACCTCTGTAAGTTGGACACATTTTCATGGAACCGTAAGTGTCCAACTTAGAGAGGTTGAGCTGTACAGTGAAATTTCGGGTTCTCGTGGTGCGGAATATGAAGTTGGCTGTCTTCTAAGTTGTACATTATTTACTCCGGTAGATGTTTACACGAGTTTCAGAGGTGTTTGCTGCCTGCATCATCAGAATGTAGCTCGTTTCCTTGATGATGAAAGCAACAAACAAGTAAACTTCTACAGAATACATGGCTCAACAACCAACTTTTTCTCCTGTACACAAACATTCTTCAAAGTACCCTTTTCTCAAACACTCGCTGTCTACGTTCTTCAGTTAGAATGAAACAATAAACCTGTATATTTCTCTCCACTTCTACAAATGCCAAAATGGTGGTCATATAAACTATTTAAGTCGAAATGATATTAACGGCACTGCAATGTTGTCTAATAACATATCTATGAAAAATATGTAATCTACTCTTATGTTAATGTACTTTTAAGATTGTCTACAACATGGTGACAATGCGAAATATTGCGTACATTTAGCATCAGATATTGTACTGAGCATTGGTATCTCCCTTGTCATGTGAGTTATGACGTCACATTTCAGATGACGCTGTGACGCTCCTAGGGTACAGAAGAGTCTGCATATTTCGTCCGCAGATAACAAAACACAACACCAGGAATTTGTATGTTTACTTTTAATTTTTTCCGACTAGGGAATTTCATATGCGTTGTATCAACACTGATGTCCTGTTTGTTGTGAAAATCTTTTAATCTGTAAATCCTACTGTTATACGCTTGGAATTTAGGTTACGTGACAGGGTTCAGTTGTACTGTTCCCTCTTTGCATAATATATAATTTATTTTCTACAAGAGGCCTAGTATTTTGCGTCAACGCTACTTACGGCAACCGTTGTGTAGTAGGAATATATGCAATCAGTACAGTTTTGTGTTTTAGAATTCCGAGGTAAGGTATAAAGAGCGCGCGTGTACATTGTACTGTCGTACGGATTACGCATTTTCAATCGTGTTATGTTTACCCATAGGTCCCTGTTCTTCCGCCCTTCCTGTTTATAACAGAGCATCAAATGTCAGGATTCGCGAACTGAAAGTCTAAATGTAATAACAAAGTAAATATTCCAGAGTATTGCGCTGTGCGTGCATTTCGTAACTTCTTTAATGTGTGTGTGTGTGTACATGGAACTTCCTTGCCATGAGATTCACATTTTCTGTTAGCAAGGTTTTGAAGGGATCTCGAACGAGTTCTCTACCTTCCAGAACAAATTTGTGATGATAATTTTTATTACTTTATTGGTACTTTGTATTGTCTAAGTCAAGTTATTCACGCTCTGATGAATGTTAACAGCTGTCGTAGTTCCCGTATCAACCAATTTCCCCTAAGACCTTGGTCTTGTTCACCACGGTGCTTTTTAACAACACGTCCGTACAGTTTGCGGGCGACTACTGCCAAACCCTTGGTGTGAGTGAATTCTCACGTTACGTAACTTTCTTACCGCAGCTCAAATGGAGCACGTAAGCAGCCTGACGTGCTGGAAAGGACATAGACGAGTAACTGGAACATACCCGGTCCAAAACTTCTGCTTAATTTTCGTGGTTTATGCCCGTCTTTCCTAGCGATCAGGTCATGATCTGATCGGGTTTCATTAAAAGCGGGGAATTTTTTGATTACCCGGTCACACTGTCAGCTTCTCACAAAAGACTCTGTTCCATGAAGTTAGTTGTTCCCCATAATCTTGTAACCTAACAATGAACCACCGATTCAGATAACAGTGTCCTGTAAAGGAAGAGATACTTCTAAATATACTTTGTAGACACGCGGTAGGGTTCCTTTAATGTTTGTGAGATCATGACAAGATATCAGACAAGACAGGGCAGATATTCGTACCCTGGAGGGGATTCAAACTACCGGTCTTACGTGCTTAATCAATCTAACGTCGCACTTCTAGAGTGGAGTTGTTCAGAGAACGACTTTGTCAAAGTAAGGAATGATAACTGAACACTTAATGGTACTCAAACAATATAATAGAAGAAAGTAATTTCCACACTTTTTCTAAGAAAGAAGTCAATATATCGATATAAGCTGAACTGCACTCTTTCAGTTAGACGTTCCTGCATTATAATGTAAAGTATCGTACTTCTGCCGCTAGAGATCTCTGAATTACAGTTGTGAAAATGGCGCAGTGGGAAGAGTTCGTCAGTGAATAAACAGCGTCCTGTGACTAAGTTTTGGCGTCAGAAAACTCTCTGCCGATAGACATACATCGGAAAATGAAAGGTGTTTGTGGAGATGACTGCATGGACATCAGTATTGTTCTGTAGTGAGCTCCACGTGTCGAACATGCCAGCCTGAATAAGAAACAGGTTTCTCACCAGGTAATAGTAAACAAACCTGCCGTTTAACGTGATAGAGTGCATTATGGTTACGGATAAGAAATGTGCGCCCAGTAGGTTCCCCGAATGACATTGATATCATGTATTGGAAGTGTTTGTCCTGACATGGAGCAAGTTTTTCTCCAACAAGGCTTCACCCGAGCGCACGAATGTCTGTACGAGATATTCACCACGTTTGTTTTACTTTTTTGTGAGATTACAACGGTGATACGGTTCTGTCAGCAAGACGTACTGTTCTATCGTGACGGACTCATGATACTAGCTGGACTTTGGCGGAAGTTTGTGGACTGCAGAGGTAATTATATTGAAAAGTGCTGTGTAGATTTGCAGGCCTAAGATCAAGGAAAGCACCAGCTTTGTTTCATGAAAACATCTGTTCCCTTTACGATATGAAATGAAGCATTCCTTTAGAGCGTGGTTTCGGTTTCAGTAGCAGACCCCGTAGGCTATATAATTTATGCTTTTTAAAGCAAGGTAATTAAAAATAGTTATTAGAAATGATAGAATAGGTTCTTTCTTGGGTAACGGGAAGATTCTACCGTAGAGTCAACAAGCCCACAATACCGGTAACTTTCCAGACTAAGATGAAACCAGTGTCTTTATGTTAGCAGAAACATTACTTGCTGAAAGTCCGACATAATGAGGAGTGTGGACTATATAAAAGGGCCCAGTAACTAATGGACGGCTGGAATCCCCTTCACTTTGATAAGCGTACAGGGGTGTACACAGAAATAAATTAGTGTACATATATTATTGGTTCCTGTTTTGATTGTCGTGTATGTTATCGTAGAAAATAAATCTTTTCTGCTATATCTTGCCAGTTATGAAAAATTAGTCTCTAGTTCTTTAATAATGATGATTAAAAATTCAAAAGCATGAAACTGGTTTACCAAAATTCTCAGGCAAAAATGTTTTAAGTACGGTTAAAATATTTCATACAGTTAAGGATATTCTGTTGCAGAGGTTATATGACGTAGAATTACATGAGCAGATGACCATTCTAAGTATCTGAATACCTGGAAGCTATAGTCTGTGTTTGTAGCTGCTGGAAAGTGTGGGGTAATCCCCACACTAACCAGTAACCCGGACGAGATTCAAACCCGTTACTTCCCCAACACAGATCTAATGCGTGATAGCTACATAAAACATGTCCTCTTTTTGTATTATTTAACGATGCAATATCAGCATCGTGGGATATAAATCTAATGACACAATGAATGTGAAAGTTTAATTCGGAAGGAACTGGAAATTTTATTCTAAGAAAATAAATTAAATGCGAGGAAAATAATTTGTACTTATCACAGTTTCATATTTGTAGTGCGACCATTCTGCAATTAATGAGCATAATGAAAATGAGGTGTAGAAACTGGCGAAAGAACGCGTTTAGAAAACATTGGCTCCTACAAATTCGTGAGTAATTTTTACTCCCATGTTTCGTGCTGTAGAAAGTTAGGAACAGTTCTGTATATTAAAATAAGTTTATTAAACATTTCACAAAAATCACATGACCGTAGACTAAAAAGTCTATCTGAAATAGAAACTTCGTTTTAAATTAAAAATTCATTTGTTTCTGTGAATATATAGGGTGAACAAAAACGTGAAATTACATCTAACGTATTGCAACGTGGATATGAAAAGGTGAAATAGAAATTAAACGAAAAAGTGTTCTGTTTGTTATGTTCATATAATTTTATTACGGACATTGATTCCTGGAATTTGTGTTAGAAAGAAACACCCGTAATCTAAATATTAAACAGTGAAGCCAGACCGTCGAAAGACTATGAATATATGTAGAATTTCTGTAATGAACTACGTCATGAACATCGATATACTAAGGAATTAGGCAGAAAGGCAAGAATGAATAAACAAGAAAAGAAAAGTGATGGAGAATACAACTAGAATTACGTATTTCTAAGTAAAAGTTCACTACATGTATGTGACATGAATTTCTATCACAGTTACATAGGATATAAAATGTGAAAATTTATAAATGTAGAAATAAGTACTTACGTTAATTATTGTACGCCGTGGCTCACTGACGCATCTCGTAAATCCCTTCAACCAAAACTTCTGCCCCCTCTATATCACAGTCCTAAAACCCCCATCCTCCTCTTAAGCCCATCACGCACAAAAACTCCATATAGTCAGTCGGACTAAAATTATACAGCACAGCAAATTCTTATTTCCCACTGGTGTAATTTGTAATTTGCTTTGCATACAGTTCCATATCTGTCAGGCGTCGTACCACAAAGTTCTCACCGTCTTTCTTCAATAAACCATTCGTATCCTGCATGGTTAATTGTGCCCGAAATGATTTGTTCTTTGTCAGAGCCTAATCCCTACCGAACGTCTCAGTGTAGTGGAGAATTTCGTGGATTTCCTCGGTCCCTACAGGAAAATGGTGGGAAAAATACTTCAAAATAGATGTTGTCTTCTGGACTGTAGCGCCATGTAGTCTGGTAGATGTTTACGAACGTTTCTGAGGTCCTTGCTTCCTTCTTCCTATTTAGGTCGATAGAGAAATTACAATAATTATGAATGATTAGCTCAAAATGATTTATGTGAGGGCAGTGTGATCGGGTTTTAGATGATTTGATCAATGGGACTGAGGAAATAATAAAAAATCACGATAGTATATTTTTGGGTGGAGATTCGAACCGGGTTCTTTCCTAATACGAAAAATAAGTAGCCTCAATGTTTCAGTACAATTCGTTCCCTTCTACATCCCTTCTAATTCATTATTCATTAATAATTCTCTCATCCGAAATTATATAATCTGAATTACTCACAACGTCGTTAATTAAACCACAAATAAATAAATGTATTGGCTTTTACTGGCCATCGTTTCTCAGTGCACTTGCTCTGAGTATATTTTTATTTCACTATATGTAACTTGTTTATTTTAGATTTTGGTTTTAGCTGCCCCATATTCTGTATTTTGAACAAATGCTTATTTTTTTCGATGATAAACTCCCGCACGACCGACAGCGATGTATTCTACCCTTCTTTCTGATTCTGCCCCGTCCACATTTTATTTAACTCATTTTCTTTGATGTCTTCATCTGGTTATTGTAATAGATGGTCTCGAAATTGTGTGAAAATCATGTAATCTGTTCCTGTTTGCATCTGTGTATTTTTTTTTTGAGTGGGGATAATGTTAAAATCAATTCTAAAATAAGTAAGCTGAGAGAATGCAGATTGGGTTTATTTGGTTTAGTCTACAAACAATAACATTAAAGAAAATTTCTTGATAAGGTAAACGAATATCAGCTTCTGAAAAAAAGAACTTTGCTCCATGCAAAAAATTTAATTATTTGTTTTTCATATGAAAATTAACATAAAGGTTGACATTAAAATGAAGACAATTGTTTTCAACACAGCGGGACCTCGACATAACGAGGGGTTCGGGGGACAGATTCAGTACCTGCGTTATAAGCTACCCACGTTATATGTGGAATTGACATTTATCTAGCATAATACATATGTAAAAGTATTGGGGGACATGATCACAGCCGCTGTATATCCAGGTTATACTGTATTTAGTACACGATCAGAATTTTGCTTCTAATTGTAAATAGTTCTCTGAATATCGTGATGTTCATCTTGGCTGTTGAAATTTTCATTCTGTGTTTGCATATTAACTGACTCAAAGGGTTTAAATTTAATTTGTTTCCGACTATGCCTTATCATAAACACCACTGTCGTCTCTATTTCAAAAGGAATGCTTCAAACACGCTGTAATGTTATATTACAGTTTGGTTTGTAACTGTGACAGCAGAGAGCAGTGCGGTCACAAGAGGCTGCGGTGTAGAGCTATTAGGGCGACACTATGCGGTCCGGTGTTAAACGTGAGACTTGAGGCTTGGTTGTGGCCGAGTGTGAAATTTTCATTTTAACTAATATGGGCCATAGTGATTTTCTTGTACCTGGCGATCGATATTTGCTGGTCCTGTGACACCACGTCCGCATTTGGGGTGAAGCAGAAAATCTCCGGACATTAAGGGTACCTGTGAATGTATAGAATAAGCAGTGACAGCCGACACGAGGTGCTTCTCCACCTTGGTGTATGGTAGAGCTAGCATGTTACGAAACGTTTCGCAGAGCCTCGGGATTGGTCAAAGCCGGAAGGATAATATTAAAATGGTTCTTAAAGAAATGGAATGCGCGGGTGTGAACTGGATTCATCTGGATCACGATGGGGAATATTGGCGGTTCTTTTCATCACAGTAATGAAAATATGGATGTCTTAAAAGGAATGGAGATTATTGTTTAGTTTACTTAGTATACGTATCTCAAGAAGAACTTTGTACCGTGGAGTTTGTTTCTGACTGTCAGACAGTCGCCATATTTTATATAACCCGAAGATGCATTACCGAAGATTTCTGTCTTCTGGGTTGTTGCGCTGTGTAGTCTGGTCGATGTTAACCAACGTTTCAGAGGTCATACTGCCTCCGTCATCAGGGCGATGAATATTCACCGCTGTGAGAACCTCAAGTCTTACATGCATTACCGTGTTCACAAAAGAAATTTTGCTCTGTCCTTCACCAGTCCACGGTATCTCATGTTTCTCTGTGATCTGTTTCAGTATTTTCCTCCATGTCCACACTTCTCGGTATCCCCAAACTGTCTCTTTCCCATAATTTTTCCATTATTATATTAACAATTTTACTGAGCAGATATTTAATTTAATCATTAATTTTCTTTTGAGCTATTTTACAGTGAAATGTTAGGTTATTCCAGTCTTCACTTGATGAAATACAACTATAATATCGTATTTATAAGTTATCTTCTAGATACCACAAAGACGAAATCAGGGTTCATCGAATTCAGAATTAAAGCTCAGCACCTTTCTTCTGGAGAGAGTGGTTATAACGAAACAGTCACGTGGTCGTGTCACCGGTCTCACCCGGACGTATCTTACGTTTGCAGCATCGGCCGAAGACCGGCCTACTTCATCTACCTGTTCATCGAGTGCCTCTTCGGAGTAGCCACCGCATTCGCACAGGACTTCGTCACTTGGAGCGTCTTCCGGTTCGGTGTTGGCTTCACGGTCCCTGCCATCCTGGGGACACCGTTCGTGCTCGGTGAGTCACCTTGGCTATGACGTCACACGTTCACTTTTATTTATTTATGTATTCATCTTCGATTCCGTATTACATCCAGTGTGTTTTCCACTGCGGCAGTTGGGGGTTTTGCGAGAACTTACATCTCATCTTCGATGCTGAGGTGTTTAAGGAAATGTGATTAAATACAGATTTCAATGATTAAACATTCGTAGTTACGCCACGCCATTACAGTAGACAAATGTGTGAAGCCACATATTCTCATTGGTAGAACCTGAATTTAACAAAAGTAAAAATAATTGAGTGTCACTTGAGAATGTTCTAGAAGATTGAAGACTAAACTCGCGGCCGATGCGAGTATTCAGGAAGTGCCGGGTTAAAATCTCGGCTATTATAATTTATGATTATCGATATTTTCCTCAGCCCTTCAAAGCAACTGCAGGGGTTGTGCCTTAAATTAGGTACGACTGCCTTTCTTTTCAGTTCTCTTTTTCTGATTATTCTATTACTCGATGTTTTATGTCTGATGAACTGAAATCGTTCTTAAGCAAGGCATAAACAAATAAATAAATAAATAAATAAATAAGAGAAACGGACAATTTAAACAACTGCATTCTTTCTGCGAAGTTTATTGTAAGAAAATTTCGGATGTAAACTAGTACTTCAGACAACTTCCCTTTTTAAAGCAATATGTGTATATATTTTTTTTTCCCAAAGAAAATCTCATTTGACTCTTTCAATTAGTTTCTGATTGATATATTATCTTCTTGTTTGTTAAATGATTGCATGATCCTGTACCAACCGGTGAACTGCAGGTGGTAACGTAAAAAGAAAGGATAATTTAGGCGTGTGTCCTTGTATGTACAGTGCCCTCCAAATAATTGTTAAAACTTTTGTTTTTATTACTAGTTAAAAAGGAGAAATGACCCTCTGGCCTGACCTGACCTGACCTGCGAGTTCGCCCCCTACCAACTCTTTACGACTTCTGCTTTTGTCATTGTCTCTGTAAAATTTATGCCGCTGATAAATCGTCGTTAAATAAGTCAGTAGGTATCCACGATAAAAATTACAGCTACTGTGTAGGTAGGCGTATAATGTTAATACATTTGTTGGCTTCTGAACAAGTTACAAGATTATTTTTGCAGACTAGATAACATACAGAGGACTTGATTCGTTCTTGTACTGACTTCTGCGTGTGTTGTGTCGATTGCGAAAATAACACGTGAAACTGAGGGTTTGGGATTAATGCTGTGGGTTATGCCATAGATCTGCACATAAGGCAATTTACTTTTCTAAAAAAAATATCGTTACTAGCTACAAGCTATTCTTTTTTTTTATTTCTACTGTCTAAACCACACCGAAGAAAATAAAGGCACTTGCTAGGGGTAGGAATTCTTTCCAGTGACAAGTTAGTATTATCGAGAAGGCTGGCATAGCGGGAGCTCAGACCTTTTCAATCATCAGCCTAGTTACCTAAATCGTGACATATTTTCCGTTGTTTTTTCAAAGTCTACATGTAAATGTCGTGGTGGCACCTAATAAGAGGCCATGGCTTCGTCCTTTTAAAATATTTATGATCGTGATCACTACTAACGTTCTATAGGGATGTCTTAAGAAGGCTAGAACAGTGTGGACTGGATTAATCTGGCACAGGAGAGGATTAACTGGCAGGCATTTGTGAACACGGTAATAATTATTCGGGTTTCATAAAAAGTGAGAGATTTCTTGACAAGAAGGACTCTGATTTAAGGATTTAGCGTAATTTATATTCTGCTTTATCTTATCGAAAGAATTATAATGTAACCACTGTAGTTGAAGTAATGTCATTAGCTCTCCTAAGAGTTAATTACTTTTGGTTATCATTAATTACTTTAACACGTAGGCTCAAATGCAACGGTTTCAAAGTGGATTTGTTGCACCACAGCCTCGCAATATGCACTGTTAAATAACTGTTATTCACCCACACTAGCGGGTAGTAAGCAGGGCTGTGGAGTCTGAGTCGGTAAAAATGTACAGACTCCGACTTCGATCTCGATATAAAATCTTAAGAACAATTTCTATAACTTATGAGCTGCCGGCGGTCTCACGTTTAGAGAGATTCAACGACGCGTTGAGCCACATAGTGCGGGAATAATGGTTTGTAACTTTGGCTCCGGCACCGTAAGAATACAAACTGGCTACAAATCAACCCATTTCTGCAATAACCATTAGACGTATATTTAAATATAGGTTATAAGTCTAAAAAGTAGGCTGGTGATTCACGCGGTGGTGATGAAATATCTTATGGTGTCATTTACCAATTTAGTAGGTTTACCCTTATTGATACATATTGAGCTTTTATGGAGGAGTCTGGGTCGGTTTCGGAGTCGGCGTCGAAGTCAGAGATTTTAGTACAGACTCCACAGCCTTGGTAGTAAGACGTTTTTAGTCTTTTAATAGTACTTCCGTTTATTTATTCAATGGGTTGGGGGATTGTGAGTTCTCTACACAGAAGATTGTGTCCGTCTAACACCGGGTTCTTGCGGACCACAGCCTTAAATGTGTCTATATCTCTAACTTTACTACACAGTTACACAAACATTACAACTACTGTAGTCTTCACCGAATTGCATGCTTCAAGGTCACAGCAAAATGGTAACATCGAACAGAGTAATAAATTTACCAACTGGGGATTCTGTCCAGCGTGATTTGGGGGCGGGGAGGGGAGGGTTTTTTTTTCTGTGACCTTGAAACATGAAATTCGGTAACTGCTTATATGGAAACCATGTCTTCTCTTATTCTTTCATTTGCATCTCGATTCATATAAGCATTCTCCTCTATTCCTTAATTCTACACCCTTGATACATTTTATCATTCTCTTGTAAGTTATGTCCTTCCTTGTCACAAAACGTTTTATGAAATATTTAAAAATAAACTTTTCTCCTCTACATACAGAGAATTCCATTTACTCACAATTTTTGCCGCTCAGCGTCCAGTTTCAGCACTGAACCCCCCCCCCCCCCCCCACTAGGGTAAGGCTGCAAATTTACTCTCTACTGGTCTCTGGTACCTCGTTCGCAGACTGGAGAAGCGTTTTTCTGATCATCGCGGTACCCCTGAAGTAGGTCAACACACAGTCATGAAGGCGTTTAGCTTTAAGGCCTATGGCATAATTCATCCAAACAAATAATTGTGTGCTGTATGATGTGTGTGCCCGGGGAAAATGTTTTGTATCAATGACAGGCACAGTCAGAATTTATATATAAAGCTCTGCATGTATGTTGACAGTTCAACTTCAACATATCAGAGAAAATTATTTAACTTTT